GTGTTGAATTTAAATCGAATCTAGAATCACGCTAGCTTGGTGCCGGATTATTATAATTGTGCTATTCGAGGGAGCTAGTTGGGCTGAGCCCTTTACACTACAAAGAATGTTTGATTTATGAAAGTGAGTGCGTTGGGCATGGTTCACATATGTGACTACTTAAATCTCTATCGTGATGTTCTAAATCCATTAAAACAGGCAGATAAACCATTAAAAGACACTCATTATCTCCTCATTTCATAAAAACAAGCTAAGAACATTCATTAAAAAAAACTCATAAAAGAGACTCATTCGACTGATGTTCATCATAATGATGAATTAAAAAATAAAGAAAAACATTCATAAAAAGATGACAATTTGCGCCATCTAACATAATGAAAAACTTTGCTTTATTTTCCATCGACTCGTCTTGTGTTTTGCCTCGTTAGCCATCAACTCAATCATAAATGTAAATTATCTACTAGAATTTCACAAAAAGAACCTTCGACGTGCTTGGTATTGTAAAAAGCATACTCAACATCATTTAAGTCAGAATTTGAATGAAAACTTTAGTGAAAAAGAACTTGTGCATTTTTTTTTTTGCTTTAATTATCAAAGAGCTTGTAAGAATGAACAGTTGATGCATAAAATAGCAACTCAAGTGTACTTCAAAAAAATGCAATGCAATTGCTCTCTTTTTTTCTATCGGAGTTGATTTGTATTACGAAATATCCGTACTAGATTCTTCAACAATTATATTCATTTTATATCCACTTACTTGTAATTACGAATTTCATGTTTCTTTTATTTCATTTTTAGTTCTCTTGTATTCTTAGCTAAGAAAAAAATTAATGGCATGCATTCATGCATACGAGACGAGTAAGAGAAGAGATGAAAATTGAAATTGCAGAATCAGTCTCTCGTATCCTGAGCTAATCTGATGAAATTATTATTTTTTTGTGAAAATTATGTCATGTAACTTTGCTGCGGAAAAGTTTGAAATGAATTTTAAAGTTCAGGAATTTTTTTATGATGATTAAAAATTAAATTGAATTTTTTTTTTGTAAGAAAATTTTAAAATTAAATTTTTATGAGAAATGATTTAAGAAGTTTAATTTGTGATTTTGACTGTCATTTGTTAACTTTTTGATGAGCTTTCAAAGTTTCATTTTTAAGTATTTAAAGCTTTTATGCATCCCTGGATCTTACAATATATTCACATATAGTTTCTAATCCCTAAAAGTCATTATCTCATCCAATTTAATCACGCTGATTTGCTAATTTTTAACACATCTCTTCAACCAATTAAGAAACTTTTCTTCATACATTCAAATCGAGATAATTAAAGTAATTTCCATTGTTAATTTTGTCTCGTATTCAAAAAAATTAACTTCGTATGAAAATAAAATCGCAAACTCGACAGTAAAGTTGAAAAAAGTCAGAAAGAAGTAAAATTGAGAGGAGAAGTAAAAACAATTACATAATTTGCATTGAGAGAAACAAAAAAATTTACGGAAGGTAACAATAAATTTCTCTTAAATTCCGGGCAGGCGTCAGTAGATTTTTTAAAGCCAAAATAAGAAGCTTGAGCTATAAAAGAGATATTTTACTGTTATGAGAAACTATTTTGGGCTCGCGACAAAATTCGAAAAATTTAAAATTGCTGAAGATATTGAGAGTCAATCTTAATCTATTTAGTCAATTTCTATAATTATTCAGATCCTAGCATTTTTGACCCTCTTAATTAAGACTATGTGAATTTATTTACCTACTTACTTCATTGGCTAGCGTACGTGAGCCTCAATGCCACGCTTAGATATTTTAAAGACAGCACTATCCTTTAAAACCTTGTTTAGATATTAAGGACTCAATCGTTCTATTCAACACATCATATCCAAGTATTTCTTAGGAATATACCAGATCAAGATTAAACAGAGCCACTATTTAGGTCTCGAATGATCCCCAATAAATTGAAAACTAATACTAAACATGGTTAAATTAACCAGAATTTTTTTTAAAAAAATAGAGGACCTGAAAGTAAAAAAGACGACATCTCACGTGTCAACCAATTCATTCGTTTTCTGGACGAATTAGAACAAATTTGAAAAATTCAAAATAAAAGAGGACTGTCCTCTGAAAAACCAAGCAGATGGTCATCCTAAACATGGTTCCAAATTCATAACAATTCATAATTATCAATCATCAAGAATATAGCCTTCCAGATCCATAAAGCACACCATTTCTGGATCTCATAAAGCATACACAAATTCACACTTTTACTTTCCTTTAAAACATATTAACAGGAAACAAGATGAGAATCAATTTAAAGTAGCAGTAATTAATTCACAAGCTCACCTTCCTATGCATCCTCATTGTCAACTCTTTCTCATTTATTTCTCACAAGTCATAATAGTTAACAATAATACACACGACATGCTCCAATTATGAAGAATTTTTTTTTTATACTTAAGAGCTAAAAGAAAGGGTTTCATTGTGGATAAGAGAGCATAAGACAAACATAATAGTTGGCTATTATTGTGATTAATGTAGAAAAAGCTATAAACAAACAATATCATTATAATTGTGACTACACACAGATAGTTGTAATGACTTAATTCATCATTTCCGCTCTATGCATCAATGACACCTGCTGTGCATAGAAACATACATACATGGCTCACAACATAAAAGCAAAAATTAAATGATTACATAAGCGCAAACAAAAAATACTGAATAAAAAAAAATAGAGGAAAAAAAAATTCAGCACGTAATTGACATTCAAATAAGTCATTGGAATAGAAAAAAAATTTTAATTCATATTTTCTGATATAAGATCAAGAAATCATTATGAATTATGCATTAGACACTTTACCATGACATGATCCGATTTATGTATGTTATAAAAAAAATTAAATGCATTGTACAGCACATGACATATTCATATATCCGTTATTATTTTCATTTGTTGGTGTTTGTTCCTTCTTTTTTATTATAGAATGAAAAATTGTTGGTTTTGAAAATCACTACCGACAGTTCAATTTGAAAATTGGCATTGTTTTCTGTTTGACTTGATACTTTAAGTGCCTTTTATATTTTTGCATGATCATTGAATATTTCATAGAAATTTAAATTTTTATTGGATCAGATTGGAATGTTTGAGGAGACTCGATTTTATGTTTTTTGGAATATATGGAAGTTGATTTATAAAGATTAAATTGTAAAGGGCTAGTAATTGAACAATTGTTTAAAGCCGTTTAAAGCTACACAGTAGCTTCAACATAGAGTTTATATAAAATACTATCCCAATTTCGTGTAAATTTTCGTCCTGAGTGACGTACTTATTACAACTAAATTGGTTAATCATCATCACTAAACTGCTCTAGCTCCATCCACAACTAGACGCTTTACAAACTTACCATATGCCAATTTTCCATTAATTTCACAACACCAAAAGACGTCAATTCATCTTCAGCAACATTTTAATTCCCTCAAATTTGTGTCAGATCGTGATGGAAGGGAAGCAACACTTTAAGACAAGCAAAAATGCATAGAAACAAGAAGGTTAAATAGCTTGAACTTCAAAACAAGCTCAAAATTACATTTAAAATGAAAATTAATTGACTCTTTTGGAATTTGTTTTTCCTTTCTAAATGCTCAGTTCTGCATTTGATGATGCATACGAGTCACAATTTCAATACTATGAATAATTTGTAAACATGTTTTGACATTCCTAATAGGAATCTTAAAGGTCAGTGTTGCGTAAATTTATATCAACATTATAATTGAGAATCATGAACATTTTTTCCATAACATTAAAGTTGCTACAGCATAAGATCTTTAATGCTACCTCATAATTTCATGAGGAACGAGAATATAAAAGAAAAAAAAAAATTCCGAAAAGAGAAGTAATTACAGACGAGTAAGTGGAAGCAGCAACATAAAAACAACAACTTGAAGGTAAAACTATGGATACTCAAAAACCAATTATACCACTGCTCGACTTATGGTAAAAGAATTTTTTTTTCGACTCTGTTTGTTCATCTTCTCATTTCATTTGCTTCTCTTAGCTTTATTTTTAATGTGAAATTGAATGAAATGAGATATAAAGAGGAAAATGAGAGCTTTTGTGGCCCTTAGAAGTGGTTTGGTAGATTTTTTTTTGTTTTGTGAGAGCATTTAGGAGGTCGTTAGCTTGTACCTTAATCCTCTGAGTAGCATAAAGAATGTAAAACAACTGCATGGAATCTATATATTTTTAAATGTCAAGTGTAATTCTTTATTGCTGGAAAATTAAGACAAAATGGGATCTTTATGTTGCTTAGGTCACTTCTAGCACCTCGTACCTTGTACCTCGTACCTCGTACCTCGTACCTTGTACCTTGTACCCAAGAAATTCTCCCAAAATTCCTCTAATATCACAGCATTAAGCAACAATCCAACTTTAATTACGATTCAGTTATGTAACACGTGAATTAGTGCTCAATTCAATTGAATCTTTAGTCTTCCGCTCTAAATTATATGAATACGTTGATGCATTGTAAATGTAAAAGTAATTATGTGTGGTTTTAAGAGTGGTAATTCGATGCTATAATTGAAACCTTCATCGATGATGATTACGGTGTAACTTATTGACTTTTTTTCTGCCTCAAAATAATGAGGCTTATTATGTGGCTCTTGTGAATTGAATGTAATCGGATATGACATTTATGGTTGGCGTTTAGGTTAATAATGTTAAGAGGTGATTGGAAGAAATTTTGGTGAATTTTCTTAAGCGGATTTAATGGAAATTTGATGCTAATGTGTTGCTGTTTAAGCAATATTGATGGTCAAATAATTGGTTTGATGCAATAAAATGAATCTTTTGAGGTAAAACTTGTAAACAGCTTGATTTTAATGGCAATTCTTCATCAACTTCTTTCAAGATTCAAATTAATATTAAATTTTATCATCACTAAACTGATCTCAGTAACGATCAGCAAAATAATCATTTAAAATTAAATAAATTATCATTTTATTTCTAGGATTCCGAAGATATTGGAGATGTTTTCCAAGATCCACAAAATATGGCTGCAATACTACTAAGAAAGCATCTACAAAGTGGTGATCTCTTAATGGTAAGTTATCGATACTGAAATTTTATTAAATTAATTAAAAGTTGTCATGAGAGAGATAATTTGACTATTTTAATGCATAAAGCTGTAATTTTGATTCAATCTTTTGTTGTTTAATGCTGTAAGAATTGTCTGAGACATAAAAGTGCTAGGGTAAGTCCAGAAAATCGCATATTTCGATAACTAGGGCTGATCTGATTTGCAAAAAAATTTGGTGTTGCCATAATTTCCCTAGGTTATGCGTAAATACCTAACCTTACTCCATAATCCATCGATACATAACGTCAGCAGCTACAACAAAGAAAAATCTATAATAAAGCAATTTTCTCATTATTCTTACAAGCTTACGTTCTCGCGCAAATATCTCATACTTAACATCACACACCTCCCAGCTAGTGTTAAGCTTGTATTAGTAATGCAATTATTGTTTTGCTACTTCTGACATACAGTATTTCAAAATTGCGATTTGCAACCGAATAATTAAAGTAAATTGAACAGTGCCGAGAGTGTTGAAAAATATAGATTGAAATTCAGGTACAGCAGAGCGTTTGTTTAACCTAAATCTAGAGCTTGTGTTGTTCTCTGATAATGTTAATGAATGAGAATTTATCTGAGCGTTAGAATTCAATTTGAGGCATTATTTATTGAATAATAGCGATAGTAGCACTGCAAACATAGTGAATAACAAAAATTTGAATTTTAATGATACAATTTAAGTTGCTTTTTGTAATGCTTTGCATAATGATTGGAATTAGCTTGTGTGTTTTTTGATAGGCTGGTGAGAATGGAGAGATATTGACAAATTTGCATGGGATATTAAATTGTGACAAATTTTAAAGCCTTTGCAATTATTTTAGGATTATGTGTTTATAATGGAAATAACTTGTATGAATTTTAATTCCTAATTCATGAGATAAATAACTTAAATGTACAACTTCCAACTTGTATACATTTTTAACTTATATCAACAGTGATACTAGGTCACTGATGAACGCCCATGACTCGCACGCAAACCTGAAGAAGATAAATAATTAATTGAAAGTCACATACAAATTTGGATAAACGTTATAAAGGTGATTTCTGCGCGCTCTTGTGAAGTATATGGCAAATGCCAAATATAGAAGAAAATTTTTTATGACGCAAAAAATTCTTTTTTTGATGATTTTTCTTAAGATTCGAACTTAATCAGATTTGATCAAACATCAATCTTAAAATGGTGATTTTTGCGTGCTCTTGTGAAGTAACTGGCAAATGCCAAATTTAGAACAAAATTTTTTATGACGCAAAAAATTCTTTTTTTGATGATTTTTTGTAAGATTCGAACCTAAGCAGATTTGATCAAACATCAATCTTAAAATGGTGATTTCTGCGCGCTCTTGTGAAGTATATGGCAAATGCCAAATATAGAACAAAATTTTTTATGACGCAAAAAATTCTTTTTTGATGATTTTTCTTAAGATTCGAACTTAATCAGATTTGATCAAACATCAATCTTAAAATGGTGATTTCTGCGCGCTCTTGTGAAGTATATGGCAAATGCCAAATTTAGAACAAAATTTTTTATGACGCAAAAAATTCTTTTTTTGATGATTTTTCGTAAGATTCGAACCTAAGCAGATTTGATCAAACATTTCACATGGAAATTTGATAGTAATTTGCAATTAAATAGCAAGCGTAATTTACTAACAGTAAGTTGATTTAATAAAAACTAGTAAATTGCAAGTTGTAGAATAGAAAGACTAGCAATTTGCTAGTTAATCTCGCTAGGGTACCATTTGTAAGAAAATCCCACAAACATCTCAAACTAGCTCAACAAATACTCCAATTTATCACTAATCCGATAATCTATCTGCTACCTAATTCGATCCCACACAAAACTTAGCATTATGTAATTCTTCTTACAACTCGTGCTCCACATTTAGTCGTAAACTTTATTAGAATTAAATTAGACACAAATCTAGTCTTAATATAAACAAACTCGTGATAGATAGATTAATTATATAGATTTCATTTCAATTTAATTTGCAAATAATGTGCATGAAGTTGAGTCTGAACGGATTGAGACCGCCTGAAGGCATAGTGTCATTATCACTCTCTGATCTGCAACTTGAAACCAAATTTATTCACCTTCTATGCTATTATAAATTAGTTAAATTCAGATAGAGTAAGGTAAAAAAAAGGATTGAAAGGCTTAACAATAAGCAATAGACAAAAGGCATCTAATGCGGTTTTAACTGTTGTCGGGCATTACTATGACATATTCTTCTAAATTATGGAAATGCCCAAATTTATGTTTTATTAATGATGACAAGGCACACTTTTTCCATTTATTTAATAAAGCGCATTTCGCGTTTTATTTTCAAGTTTTTGATCTCACCTTGACCAAATTTAATTTTTTTTTCATATCAACAACAGCAGCGACTGCTATACTACATAAAACATACTGTAAACACAATTTAAATTGTTAAAAAAAGTGAGAAAAAAATATTGTTCATGTTGAAGACATGTTTGCGAAATTTTTTTCCGTTGGATTTTAAGAGAGACTCATTATAAGTTTAAACAAAACAAAAAAAAATTCACATATCGAGGCTATTTTAAGACATGCATATTGACGATACCGCATCGACAATAATTAATTCACGGTATATCATTATGTCGAAAAATAACAGCAAGAGAAGAAGATGGAAGAGAAATGAATTAAAAGTATTTTTTTTGTATGATGAAGATTTCGATGTCAATGTCTATGGCAAGAGAGATTTCGTAATATTCAACCTTAAAAAAAATTAACGTAAACCGCATTTAAGTTTTTTTAATGCAAAAATGAAATGGATGTATAGTCGCATTTGGCTGATGACTTGTGGCACATTGAATTGTCATAATTTTGGATATTGTGGTGTATTTTGTGAAGAGAGATGCTGCATTTTGGTTAGGCTCGTTGACTTAATATTGCATTTACATGACAAAACCCCATAAATAGGGTTTCTGAAATAAAAATTCAAAACTCTGAATTACTGTTTAACAGCCCAAATCCTTCATATGTTCAATCATAATCCACAGTCAATATGCTTCATCCTCATAATCATTAAGCAATATCTCCCCTCATTAACCCACCAATGTCTTCATTAATCAATAAATTGACTGCATTTCCAATTTTACCAAACTCGTAAACCTCCCATGACAGATTCAATACATTAAAATATTGTTCTTTTTTTTGTTGACTTGTCATTTATGTCCATATTTACAACTCATTACATTAGTTCAACCACATTATTACCCAATCGAACAGATTCATCATCATAAATAACAATTTATGCAGCAAGCAGCTGATTGACAAATCATATAAGTTAAGTTGTGTGGACTTTAGGCATCGTATTTCGATTTTATTATCATGTTTCTACGTGTATCCATGTCCTACAACAACAATCATTCATATCATCATTTCCTAACATAATAGTCATCATATCTCGTGTTAATCGCAAAAGTTAATTGGATTATTGCCGATTATTTTACTTTTTTTTTATGTATGCTGCTAGGTCAATAGCTAAAAATTTGACCTCATCATGAGGCTAATGATTGTCTCATGCAACAAGTATTGTAGACAGTTATTTCACAGGCATATATTATTAGTATGTGTCATGCACGTGGATTATCGACCAATTATAATCTCAGTCAGTGAATGAAGAATGAGATGTAGGGACTAATTGAAATGGATAAGATGTAGGAAAGTTGATTATATTCATGGGATTTTGAGTGACGTTGAGGGATTGCTGAATGCTGGTAAGGGTAATTGAAGTTTTGGTGAAGGAATACAGGTGATTGGTGGATGCTGGCAGTTCAATGTTGCTGGGGGACATTCATAAAAAATTATTTTGAATCATAAGAAGGGCTGCAAACGCCACACGACATTGCTTGACTTAAAAAAATACAATTCCAGCGACTAAATTCAGTTTGAGACAGACAACTTAAAGTATTACTTAAAAAACGAAGTTTTTGATCCATTTGTTCTTTTACCGAAGCTTTTGTGGTTCAAGCTCCTATAAAGTAAACCTAGTATATACATGGTCTCCAAACTAGTGATTCCATTAAATACCAAATCTATGAACCATTTTAACAATCTAAATCAGCCTTTTAAAATGCAAATGCACATGAAATACAGCCGAATTTACTCTTAACAACATCCAATAACTGTCATCGTAGATTTTTATACCAAAATCTCTCGCCATCGAGATTAAATTGCACCAAAATTTACGATGCCGCTACATTCGACAACAATAAACAGTTATATAAGAAGTTTTATTGGCAAAAAATAAACAAAATATCTGATTTGCATTTTTTTGCTTATTTTATTTATGACTATAATCTTTACATCTCTTCCAAAAATCTTATTAAAGAAGATAAAAATGATGCGAGCTCACCTTGCCACAGAAACCCACAAATTATGCACAAAATTAAGATCTCGTCAACTGACTCACGCTCAATCTTCTTTCTTTATTAAATACGCATCGATTGCATCATAAATTTCCATACAGCTGATGCCTTAGACACAGAAAACTGCTCAAATGTTGAATGAACACACTAATTTCATTATTTTTTTCCATCACAATGTTGTTAACTTGCGAATTTAAATTTCTCGCTCGCGCACTTTTTTCTTTCATCACCCGGTTTGATCTCGTACATCGTCGATTGTAAAGATTGAATTGGAATTGAAAATAAATGAAGCAACAAAAAGCGGAAAGGAGGAGAATTAAATAATTGAGTTCAGGTCCCGATCTGTAAAGAATAAATAAGGATGGTTTTAGTTTTTGCTCGACTCTTGACGATCTAATTTAAGTGATTTTGAGAAGATCAGATTTTACTCGTCCTCAGAAGGTCTGATTTAGATTGATATAGTCTTACTTGATCCTACAAGATCAATCTAAGCTTAATCTGACTTCTCGTTATCCGTAAAGATCTGATTTTATACTTGTCACACCAATTCATGTACTGCTCGGCACTGCATCAAC